AGCTTTTTCTTCGTTTGCTTTTTGGTGGTGCTAGGAATCGAATCCGGGGCCTCAAGCTTGCTGGGCAAGCACTCCAGCACCGAGCTCCAGCTCTAGCTTGTGGGACTCCTACATTCTCTCCCCTCTTCCTTTGTCCTTCAGAACTTCAGAGTGACGAGTGGCAGAACTCAAAAGTCAGCCCATTCTTCTGACATGGGAAGGAACCTGAGCGAGGGAAAGATCTGCTTACCACCAGCCAGAGAGCCGGTCCAGGGCCGAGCTTTTCTTCCGAGTCCCAAACATTCCTTCTGTGAACACTGCTCTCAGAATGGAGCAGAAGGCTCTCAAAAGTGGACCAGCGTGGCGCATGGTGGTGTGTTCCTATAGTCCCAGCTACTTAGGAGGCTGAGGCAGGAGGCTCACTTCAACCCAGGAGTCCAAGACCAGCCTGGGTAACAACGTATCAAGATTCCATTTCAAAATGAAAATCAAAGCAAAAAACAAAGAAAGATTAAAGTTCTTCTAGTAAGAAGGCATCTTCTGGGAAATTCATGGTGATCGAGGTGTCATAATTGAGGTGTGCCATTTTATACCTATGGCCTCTGAACTCTGTGCTTGCCGAGGCTGAAAGCGAAAACTACATTTCCCAAAATTCCTTGCCAGATTCCTTCCAAATACATTTGCCAGTGGGAGCCAGGGAAGGGGGAGGGACTCAATTCTTATTTCTAGCTGCGGTCTGAGTCACTGTGGCAGCAGCAGACAGCTTTGACACCAGGCTTCCCGTGAGCTCCCCAAAGTACCACTGCAGTTGCACAACGGCCCCTGTGTGGCCTGAACAGGAGCTGCTGCCTCTCTTCGTAGGAGTCCCAGCGCCACCTGGTCCACAGCTACCTTGAAGAAAACTGTCTTCAGGGGCTGGGGATTTAGCTCGGCGGCACAGCGCCTGCCTGGCAAATGCAAGGTCGTGAGTTCGATTCCTGGTACCGGAAAAAAACAAACTAAAACAAAAATAATAATAATAAAGAATATTGTCTTAAAAAAAAAAAAAAAAAGGAAAGAAAACTGTCTTCAGATCCCTGTGCTACTCTTGAGGGTCATTTGACAAAGCACGGTCACTGGCGTGGGAGAAATGGTGCTGTGTGGAATCTGGGGCCGCGCTCTCAGAGGGACGGGATGTACCCACTCCCTTTCCAGTTCCTCTGCTGGATGTGGGTGCAGCCTCGTGGGCGACGGACACTGGCAACAGCAGGAGGGCTGTGGTTCCCTAAACGGGAGGGGGCCGGACGCTCACTTGCACTCTTGGAGATGTGCTGATGTCACTGTTGTTTTGGATCTCTGTCAGCACAGCTGAGTGTACCCTAAGGAGTATCCCTGCGGAGTGCCGAAGCTCGGCCCTGTTCCAGAGGAGCCTGCATGTCCCTGCAGCTTCCCTGCCACTGATACCCTCTCTGCCACTAAATCCGGGGTGCCTTTCAGCTCCGTCTTTCTCAGTGGCACTTGGAGCTCATTTCTTTGTTTGTTTTTGGTACCGGGAATTGAACTCATGACCTCAGGCTTGCCAGGCAAGCACTTATGCCGCTGAGCTATATCCCCGGGCCCTGGAGCTCAGAACCCTGCCGTCCCTGGGCCTTGGCATCCCATACTCCTCCTCCTACACCTCTGGCCCTCCTGCCATAGTCTATTTTACCATTTTCTTCTTCTGCCCATCCTTTAAGTGCTGTTCATGATCCTCTTTCATCTTTCTGTAAGCTTAGCTCTGTACGCTGTATATTTCATCACCGTCCCGAGGCTGAGAATTTCAGCCTAGATCTTTGCTCTGAGCTCTAGACTCCTAAGGCTGCTGCCTAGTGGGACGCTCCCCGGGCACCACACGGGCCCTGAAACCCATCTTCTCCTGTCCAAGCCTGCTCCTCCTCCTGGGTTCCTGGGCTCCGCGGTGGCCCCACTGTCCCCCTGTCCCAGGGGTCCAGCCTGAAACCTGGAGGCACCCAAAGCTTTTTCCGTCTTCTGCTTACATCCAGGGAAGAGTCACTTCTGCTGACTACTGTCTCCAAGAGCCGTTCTGATCTGCCGCACCTCTCCATTCCCTCCCTTGCTGCCTCTGACCACTGTTCCCCTCCTCTTTTCCACTCCTGTGGTCCAAGTCATTTTTCTGTAGCACCGGTTCCTCTACCCGCTTCCCGGGCTCCTGGGAACTAAGCAAACCACTCTGATTCACAAGGCGGTGGGAGTCTGGCCCCTCTCCCCCCGGAGTCAGCGACTGCAGGGAGTGCCTGGCCCTCACTGGACACATCACTTACCCTCTCGGACCTGGGATGAAATAGAAGGAGCCTAAATGTCCCAGGGTTTCTTTTTTATTTTATTTCTTTTCACTTTTGTAAATGAGACTGGTGTGCAGTCGCCTTGTCCATGGGCCTTCTTTCTGTTAGAAAAGCAGATACACACATAGAAGGCAGATGCTGGCTGTCCCTGCAGGTCCGGCCAGCTAGGGGTCTAAAATGTCATCAGAATCACAGCCTGAAAGGAAGACAAGGACAACTCCATGCAGGTAAAACACACCTGGGCCAGAGCGGAGACTCGCACCGGGAGGAGAGTGGCGGGAGACCAGAGCCCAAGCCCTCGGCCCCTTGCCCTCGTTGATGGGTCTTGGCTGGAAGTGGGGCGACAGGAAGGCCCATCTCCAGCACCTCTGTAGGCCGGTGCTCTGCAATCTGCTGGGTGTGATTTGTAGGTGGATCACGAGGTCAGTTTAGTAGCTTTGCCTAACATGGAAATAAAACAAAAAACCCGAATGGAAAGTGGTGTAGTACATTGCCTGTACAGTGCCGTTTGAGGAAGTGTCTTCCATTTATCATTCGATGTCAGGAAACCCCTGTTGCAGACCGAGGTGGGGTGGCTCGTGCGTCTGGGCGGTTGTGGCTGGCAGTGGGGAGCGCAGAGCTGGGCAGTGGGTTTGCAGGCTGTGGTGGGCGGGGCCGGGGCATGCGCACCATCTATTACTACCCCTGGCCGGGACACGGAGGGGAAGGAGCCTGGCGGGGGACGTGGAGGAAGAAGCGAGTGCCACGGAGCTTGTGCTGTTAGGGAGGTGGTGAAGGTGCTGGTGACGGGGAGTTCTCACATCCTCGTGAAGTGCCTTCAAAGCGGTGACCAGCATCTGTAGAACATGTTATGCTCTTCCCAGGTCCCAGCCTTCATTCACTTCTCCTAAGTTTTCTGGGAGGTACGTGGGTGACATCATTAGCCCATTTCTCAGATGGGGAATCCTAGCAGCTGAGGCAGCCCAGTGACTGCCAGGTTCAGAGCCAGAATCCAGATCTCCCTCTTTCTTTCTTTCTTTCTTTTTTTTTCTTCAGATGTCCCTCTTTCTTTTTTTTTTTTTTTTTTTTTGTTTTTCTCAGGTACCGGGAACCAGATGTCCCTCTTTCTAAGTAGGCACTTTTCTCACCCCAAGGTAGTGTGAGTGCTCTGTATTATTTTGGGTT